AGACTGGAGTATACATCTGATACAAAGACTGGAGTATACATCTGATACAGAGACTGGAGTATACATCTGATACAGAGACTGGAGCATACATCTGATACAGAGACTAGAGTATACATCTGATACAGGGACTGGAGTATACACCTGATACAGGGACTGGAGTGTACATATGATACAGAGACTGGAGTATACATCTGATAGAGAGACTGGAGTATACATCTGATAGAGAGACTGCAGTATACATCTGATACAGGGACAGGAGTATACATCTGATACAGGGACAGGAGTATACATCTGATACAGGGACAGGAGTATACATCTGGGGACTGAAGTATACACCTGATACAGGGACTGGGGTGTACATATGATACAGAGACTGGAGTATATATCTGATACGGAGACTGGAGTATACATCTGATACAGGGACTGGAGTATACATATGATACAGAGACTGGAGTATATATCTGATACAGGGACTGGAGTATACATATTATACAGACTGGAGTATACATCTGATACAGAGACTGGAGTATACATCTGATACAGGGACTGGAGTATACACCTGAGACAGGGACTGGAGTATACACCTGATACAGGGACTGGAGTATACATATGATACAGAGACTGGAGTATATATCTGATACACAGACTGGAGTATACATCTGATACAGGTACTGGAGTATACACCTGAGACAGGGACTGGAGCATACACCTGATACCGGGACTGGAGTATACATATGATACAGGGACTGGAGTATACATATGATACAAAGACTGGAGCATACATCTGATACACAGACTGGAGTATACATCTGATACAGAGACTTGAGTATACCTCTGATACAGAGACTGGAGTATACATCAGATACAGGGACTGGAGTATAAATATGATACAAGGACTGGAGAATACATCTGATACACAGACTGGAGTATACATCTGATACAGAGACTGGAGTATACATCTGATACAGGGACTGGAGTGTACATCTGATACAGGGACTGGAGTAAACATCTGATACAGGGATTGGAGTGTACATATGATACAGAGACTGGAGTACAAATCTGATACACAGACTGGAGTATACATCTGATACAGCAACTGGATTACACATCTGATATAGAATCTGATCCTGACACTGAATTTATATCTTACAATATTTAAGCAATAAAAGGTTTTTGTACATACTATTTTATTATTATATATACCACACAACTTACTATGAACATGTGGGTTTGATGTAGATTCAAAATCATTCACTCTAAAATGATAAATTTTTCCCTTATCATCGAGTCATTCTTTTGTTTGTGTTTTACGTCCTATTAACAGTTACGGTCATTTAAGGACGAGCCAGATTTTGATGGTGGAGGAAAGCCGGAGTTCCCGGAGAAAAACCAATGACCAATGGCTAGTACCTGGCGACTGCCCCACGTAGGTCCCGAACCCGCGACCCAGTGGTAGAGGGCTAGTAGTAGCTGAATGACAAACGCCTTATCCACTTGGCCACCACGGCCCCCGATTGAGTCATTTTATTGTTTTGATGAGTGAAATATGAACGACATTCAGTCATTCATATTCCACTCATCAAAGCAACAAAATTCTTTCTCACATCTTTTCTCAAAAATATGTCTATGTCATTGTAATTTGTTCATAATGAAAAACATGTATTTCCATGAATTGTGATGAAAAATACAAGTAGCAGTGAAGTCGTTAGATTTGTTGAATTTGAATGCGATTTCAATTTTTTTGTATAGGTCGATATCATTTTTTGCTGAATGTCTGTCCACCATTTCCAATATGTGTATACACCCCAACCCCTACACCCTTCCCCACCACCTCGCTTTGCCTGTGACCTTTGACCCTTTAACCTTGACCGTAGACCATCAAAATACAATCAGGTGTAAGTGGTGAAGGTCAGGGTGACCTAAATACAGTCCAGTGCACACCAATGGATGGTGAAGAATCACTCACAAACTTACGTTTCAGATATGTCTCTTACTAGATACTATAGGAAGAATTAGAATGAAAATAAATGCAAAACTGTTTTCAGAATTTAATAATTTATTTTATTAATATGACATATGATTAGCAAAAATGCAATTCCATCTGGAAAATGAACTCAAATGATTTTTGTGGTCTGAAAAAAGAAATTCACAAGTTGTAAGACATCTATTCTCTAGTATCAGACAGCAAAGTTGTGGGCTGTACAAGGAACTCATACTTGAATGCCAGAATGCCGTGACCCCACATACAATTTATGCTCACTGGGAAACAAAGAACTTGTGTTCACAGTGCAACAAACATAAACTTCTGCTCACAGGCAAACATACGTACAACTTAATGCTCACTGGGAAACATAAAACTTATGCTCACTGGGAAACATACGTACAACTTAATGCTCACTTGGAAACAAACATACATCTTCATGCTCACAGGAAAACATACAACTTATGCTCACTGGGAAACATACGTACAACTTAATGCTCACTGGTAAACATACAACTTATGCTCACTGGGAAACAAACATACAACTTAATGCTCACTGTGAAACATACAACTTCTGCTCACAGGGAAAGATACGTACAACTTAATGCTCACTGGGAAACAGACATACATCTTCATGCTCACAGGAAAACATACAACTTAATGCTAACAGGAAAACATACAACTTAATGCTCACAGGAAAACAAACATACAACTAATGCTCACAGGAAAACAAACATACAACTAATGCTCACAGGGAAACATACAACTAATGCTCACAGGAAAACAAACATACAACTAATGCTCACAGGGAAACATACAACTAATGCTCACAGGAAAACAAACATACAACTAATGCTCACAGGGAAACATACAACTTATGCTCGCAGGGAAACATACAATTTCCGCTAACAGGGACACAACTTATGCTCTGGTAAACAAACATAAAACTTTTAATACTCATAGGGAAACCTACATATATGCTTATGGTGTACATGTAAACGAAAGATTTCCAAACATAAAACAAATATGTGACTTCTCACATTTACCGCAAAATATAAAACATGCCAATAATGAACCTCAGGGGTCCCGTTTTATGTTCAAAATGATTTCTAATTCTGAATTTCTGTCAGTGTTAGAGAAATGAATAAGTCCTTGGGACCGATTGTTCTATTTTAAGAATTTCCAATGCCTTCTTGATAAGATAAGAAATGTGTCAGTCTGTACTTGTCAAACACATACAATCAATATAAAAGCTGAATTCCGAAAAAAAGTTCATCATCGTTTATTGTTGCCTTTCGTAATGAGGCTAGTTCATTATGACCATGGAAATTTATACACAGATTACATCTAGGCTCTCTGCAGTGAAGGGCATAATTTCCACAGGGTGGCTACAGATTTTTTCTGTGAAGGCAAAATATTTCACAGATCTAATGTTTTTTCCACTATAAAGTATATTCACCAAGTCTTCTAAGAAGGAGACAGAAGACAATCTTCACAGAGCTATGAACATCCTAATGCTTTAAATGTTCAGCACAGTTTGGATGGAACAACCACTTCGTCTAGTTTTTAATGCAATCATTAACACAAGGAGTAAAACCTCACGGACATTTAATGTTAATGTAGGCTAGGCTTTCCATTAAACCAGAACTGGGCCTCCTTCATACGAAAGTGGTCCTGGATGTTGTCAAGTTGTCAAGCTGTTCCTTCCTAATCAAACAGTTCCTACTGCAATGATCTGATGTTGTTTCACACTTTCTTCTTCTGTAAAGGAAAAGGAAAGAAAATATATTTCAATAATGAAATCATTTTTAAAACAAAGCTCACCTGGAAATGTTAGCAAAATTGAAGTGGAAATAGCCAGATGTTGCTGGTAGTGTACACATATTACATGTTAGTCAGGGGTTATATTTATATGCAATTGGACAAAATCCTGTCATTCCTTCAGGAAAAGGAAGATTTTGAAGAATTTACGATGTTTTCCCTATTGGGCCCCACCCCTCTGCCCCTGTGGGAGTCAGAACTACCGTTTATACAAAATTAAGTCCCCTTCACCAAAGGATGCTTTAGACCAAATATGGACAAAATCCTGTCATTCCTACAGAAGAAGAAGAATTTTGAAGAATTTGCTAAATCACTCCTATTGGGGCCCACCCCTCAGGCCCCAAGGGGTCAGACCTATCGTTTATACAAAATTGATTTCCCTTCCCCATAGGATTCAACTGTTCAAATATGGTCAAAATATCTTCATCCCAACGGAAGAAACGGAGACCAGGTGAGCTAAAAATATGTTCTAAATATCAAATGTGAAGAAGAAACAGGATGAAAACAATAGGGATTTCCATTTATGATGAAAATCCCAATTAAAATGAGAAGAATTATTTCTTACTTGAGCTTTCTTTATTTTCTTCTTTAGAGATGTAATGTCAACTTCTGAACCTAAATAAACAGAAAAACATTTGTCTTGAATTTGTTACATACATTAATACACATGTTTGCTTCAACTCATTCACCCCTGGAGGCACATTTGAACTCTTCCAATTCAAAGGTTGGAATAGTTCATTATAAAAGTTCAGGGGTGAATGAGTTTATACCGACTACATGCTGTAGTAGTTAGTTCATTTTTTTTTTCAATTGAAAAAAATCAATATGGAAGCTTGCTTAATGGTGTGGTTTGGTTTTACTTGGTTTAGCATCCTTTCAACAGCTACGGTCATTTAAAGATGTGCCTCCATGTGGGTAATATATGAGTGTATGTGTGTTGGAGGAGGTAAGTTCTTGTGTTTACTTCCTTGTGGTAGTGCATATCTAACGAGTGCTGATTTTATAGAGAGCTACCTCACTGAAATACCTTGCCAAAGACACCCAGCATGGTGTTCAACCCATATATAAAAGTTCTATTTTATACACAAACAATGAATTATCAAAACGAATCACAATATTAAAAGTGCAGAAATTTGCAGCAGCGCCTATGTGTCTTTCCGACATCCGTCGTAGGCAACACAAAAACTATATTCAGAGATCAGTTTCTGGAAGTTGTTTATTATTAAAGGTGATCTTTTAATTGAGGTGGTCTCTCATGCAACTTTCAGTGTGATATCAAAGTTTTACTTTCTACACAAACAATGTACGCATTAAAAGTGTTTGTGTAGAAAGTAAAACTTTGATATCACATATTTCCAAACTGATGAATCTTATTGAAAACTTTCAGTGTAATCATTGAATTATATAGAAGTGTAATTAATTCACCTTTGGTACTTATTAACTTCTTTATAATAATTATAATACCTGTGATGACAGTATCATGAAGTGAATTGGTGTGGCTGTATTGTAGCTTAATCTATATTAATTTTATATTCAACAATACCAGCAAATACCAGTCATCCTGAACATAAGGATGTCTGGTCCCTTTGACATCAACATTTAACAAAGTAATGTACAGCGTATATAACATTTTGGAACTTTTTTTTGAAGCCAAAACTATTTTACATCGCAATAACATTTTTATTTAATTGTTTCTTTGTTGTTAAGTTTTTTTTTATGATCACAACTAAAATGGCTATAAGTTTAACTGATTGCTTTCCGGGATATGTCACCTGAGGTTTTCTGTTTCTTGGCAGGTTGAGTGCTCTCTGTAGGAGGGATAAAAGCCTGTGCACGTCTTTCCTTCTGCTTCGATTCATTCTCCTTTTGCTTTTCCTGAAATATATTTTATAATGTATTTTAAATGTTGACATATACTGGTATGTTCAAGATGTTTTTTTAGACATTATATCTTTATATTAGTTTCATATCTCCTTTACATTGAATTATCAGAAAATTTCTTCACTCTTGCTAAAAGTGTAGTTTTTAAACACAGAGGGGCATGGATGTAATAAAGGAAATAGTAATAATAATAATAATTTGAGGGTCTTATATACCGCTTTATCACAACCTAGTTCGTAGGTCGTCTCAAAGTGGTTCACAAATTATTATCCGTGGTTATAGGGCCTTTGCAACCAGCCAATATCTTTCTCAACTCCCTGGGGAGCATACAGGCGGTGCTGCCATTTCGACGCTCACAGCTAGCATTCAACAATTCTAGCACTGCCCATTCACATACTCATTTACAGCTGAGTAGACTGGAACAAGAGGAGTAAAGTATCTTGCTCAAAGATACAACACAGCGCCGTGTCATGACTCACACTTGCAACCCTTCGGTTACGAGCCTGGCGTCCTACCAACAGACTACCATGCCTCCTATATATAGAAAAATAGGTTTCAATGGTTCAGGGATCTTTTATATCAAATTGATGTAAATTGATTATCTCTAGGACCCCTCAGACATCAGGAGACAACACTTACTTTCTTCTCCTGCTGTGCCTTGTCTTTTTTCTGACTTGCCTGGAGGAAGTACTCTCCGCTAGCCAGCTCCTTGTCAATCTATCAGAACAGAAAATAACAGGTAAATATGAATAACAACCCTATTAACTTATGGGTAAAGGAAATGTGATTCACATGTTCAAAATATATATATAGGAAATACCATGAAAATATATGTCATTGTGAATTCAAATAATTGCAAATAGTTTTAACTGAGGTAAAATAGTGAGAATAAGTACTTTAATTAAGATATTGATATACAGATTGTGATGTGTTGTACATACCTTGCTCTCGACTTGTGGAGGAGGGAATGGGGTGTAATCTTTCTTGATTCTCTTCTTTTTTGGCTGTTTCCTTTTGCTGATGGTTTTGGATTTAAACTTAGGTAAAAATCTGTCCCAGCTTTCACCTTTTAGCTTTGGATCTTTCGCCAATTCTTTTTTAATCATAAGTGTCTGTAAGAATGATTTGCAAGAAAAGTGTCACAAATGTGTTGATCATAGGCCATAAATACTATGTAATGGTTGCCTAAGTAATATCATTTTTTGTTGTTGTTGTAATGATATGACAGAACATGTAAAGCATGCCAATAAAATAATGTTGGAAAGTCAATGATCAAAATATAACATACATAGTTGCAACTCCCAGAAAATGAGGACAAAATCTGAAGGGCAAATGAGCTTAAAATGCTGTGATGCAGTGTCCGTTGTCCATCTGTCAAATTTTCACTAAAAAACCAACTACTGTACCAATAGTCCAGTATGGTTGAATTAATTATAAGCAATTCTTTTTTTCCCCTATGACTATGCTCTTATGATCCTTGAGGAAAAAATAATAATTTTTGTTCAACCTATTTTTAAAGTTGTTTTTTAACTGTTAACAAAAAATTGTCAAGCATTTTTTGAGAAGAAGTTAAAGTATGAATTGTGTTCTTATTTATGGACATGCCAGGTACTGATGGACAAAAGGTGATCGCAGTAGGTCACATGAGACTTTGTGTATGTTGACCTTAAAATATGTAAAAACCTTTGGAATTATGGGCACTTGTCTTTAATGTTTGGACATGCACAAAACTCAGATCAGGTCCTTCACAGTGTAACTTTGTTGTAATTAATTTACATACCTTGATGTTGTAGATCGGATGGATATTTTTCATAGTGTCTTCAACAATTTTTCTTACCTGAAAAAAAACCCATAAACATATTGATATACACTGAAGATCAGACCAAAACAAATGATTTCTTCAACAACGTTTTAACCTGTGCAATGATTTCACAGGTTCTTTAATTGGCAAACAAAGGTATAGAAGGCTTTTTTTTCTATGGCAAGTTTTGGTTCAATTCCAAAAGAAAATATTGCTATTACTTCCCAAATTTTCTATACAATTACCCAATCTTGAATTCTTTTTTTCATAATTCTAAGCTTTTATTCAGATTACAATGCAACACATTTAAAATATAATAATGTTTTATAGATAAGGATGCTAAACCCTTTAAGATTGATGATTTGTGAAATGAAAAATTATTTGGATTTAATTTTAAACAATCCCCAATTTGGTTTTACTACCTCAAAGCATTTTTCTCAGTACCAAAACCATGAGACCCATTCCTAAAATATTGAAAAAAAAGCTGTCTTTACATACCCTTGAAAACAACCAACAATAGGAAAGTACTTTAATTTGTTAATCTCAAAATGAAGGAAATGTATCACCTGTCAATTGATGCACCCTTACTTAATATTAAAGTGAACTGAAAGTGAAGTGGTATCTATGTGGTATCACACTTACATCTCTAAGTCCTTTGTAGGGGCCAAGGGCCGAGACTGTGTTACCTTGTACCATTACATAACACCCAGTCAGTAGTTCTATTGCCTGCAAGACACAAATAAATTGTTAGTCATTGGCAAGCTGTAGATGTTTCACTTTCCTGTAAATTATGAAATAATTTTGATGCAAGAGGCCTAGAGGGCCTTTACTGCTTATCTGGATATACAATTAAATCATAGCAAAATATCCTCATTGAAAGTCATTTTATAAATATTTCTCTATCTTGGGCTCTACCTCCTGGCACCAAGGATCTTATTGTTTTGCTGTCGGTCTCCAGTCAACTCACAAACCACCTATGGAAATGTTGGGTTGGTAATGTTGGCATCCACATTAATTAAGTGAAGATTTATGCATAGCCCTAAACACAAATTGGGCATATAAGAAATAAGACCATATATACTGGAGATGTCTGCAAAAATAACCAAGATGTGAAATTATCCAGATTTATGATATAATACTCTAATTTTGTTCTAAAAAAACAAAGTGTACTTATTTTTATAACATACAATGTAAGTCTGTCTCAGTGTAGCTATTCAAATGCACTCTATTTTCTACTACAAACCTTAAGTGTGGAACCATCAGGACCTATAAGTCGATGTCGCCGTTTGACAAATCTTTCTTTGTTTCTCACCAGGGACCCAATTTTGATGATGTCGCAGGCAATATCATCTTCAGTGATTCTGATGGCCTGAAATAAGAGCATCATTAATGGCAACATGGTTTTATTTTTTGTATATGAACATATACAGAGTGCAATAGTAAGTCTGATGAAGATAGGTGACACAGAGTCGTGTCAAAATATTTACATTTCTGACTATAATTTATATATATCACTGCGTTAAAGCCTTTACAATACTAGAATTACTGAGTAGTGTGTACTTTCTGTAGTGAAAAATTGAGTTTCTGTATCAAGTGTCAGTTGCAATGAAAAGCATTCCCAAGCAATATCTTCTCAGTAAAGAGGCACAGTTTGCCGTCTAAATGATTGGCCCACATGAACTAAAATTTTGTGTAGATTCTTTTTTTCTATTAATGGTACATTTTTTAATATGACCTTGAACTTAGACCTTCCAACCTAGTAAGCATTCCAAAGAAAGCATTTTATACAGTCTAAGATTAGGCCACAGAATCTCAAGAAATTCAATAATTTTTGTGGAAAACCAATATTATATATTTATTTTTGACTTTCCAATCTGAAAAGCAATTCCAAAAAAACACATTTGGTGAAAAACATTCTATGGTGTTTGAATACATCTGGCCCATGGGAACAAAACTTATCGTATGGACACGGCTTTAGGACTGATTAAATTGACAGATAGATGAATGACATTACAATACCCCGGTCACATCTCTATTGGGTGGGGAATAAAAATCTACGGTAGGAGCTTTAATTTTTACTAATGTCACGCTACCACAATTGGTACAATTTTGACGGTTTCTCAGTGAAATTCAAAAATTCAGATCTTGTATCTGGAATGTTTCTTGATTTTTGACAAAGACTAGTACCTATGGTGGTTCATTTTCAGCAAAAGTTTTTATTCTACATTATTTGTTTTTGAAAATAGAATGCTAAATTCACAGTGCGATTTCGTCCGTAATTAGTACCCCAATTGGTACACTATATCACAGGCTATGAAACTTGTTTTTATTTCTACTAGTTGATGTGCCGATTGCAACAAAATATATTGCTTTTATAAATACCATACTGAACTACAATTGTATATATACACTTTTATATTATCCAGTTATAAAGACCAGAAATCAGCATTTAAACATGCATTTAAACATGCTTATATTTAACCCCATCAATATCCTCCAAAATTTCGTCGACATACGTCGTTTTTACTGGGTTTTTTATGTGTTTACTTTGAAGATATAATTATTATAGTGTACTCTTAAAATGTTCCTGAAAACAAAACTATTCAGTGGAAATGCTGATAAATATCTCCTTTGTTACACTGTCAAAGGAAAATGCTCAAATTTAATTTTAAAGTATTATTCGAACCATTTACTGACAGTGTACCAATTTAGTGAGTGTACCTGTGGTAGCATGATGTTATATAACTATAACGACAGATAGGTGAACAATGTAACAATACCCCGCTCACATCTCTATTGGGTGGGGAATAAAAATGTAAGGTAGGAACTATATTTTCGGTTAAGTAGGAAAAGCTAATTCACAGATTTCCAATTTTTGCCCTAAATGTTTACCTTACCTGTTCATATGGTACGCTCCTAGCTAGAAGCTTGATCAAGTCGCGAGCCTTGACAATGATGTAAGGGTCCCACGTTTTTCTGGTGGTGGCTACAGTCATACTGCCCTCTACCACGTCCAGCTCTGCTTTAATGTGCTACAAACAAACACCAATAAGACAGTGAACGCTGATGGAACAGAACACAATATGAGTCGCATTCATTTTATAGTGCTAGTTTTATACACATGCACTATACTTATATTTCCAAGGAGAAACAAATGTTGTGATTGGCCAAATTTGGCTACATGACCTGAATTTATATTATCAAGGCAGATGTGAAAAGGTATAGGGTCACTTGACCACGGGGGTTTTCTCCTGGTACTCCAGTTTCCTCCAACATTAATTACCCCCGCGTGTCAAAATCTGGGCCAACAAGAGTGATTACTATGAGTTTAAACTACTTGTTTCACAATTGTTGTAAAATAAATAAAGCTTATATCAATTATATTATTATCTGACCTGCCTTGTGATATCATACATATGTATTATTTAAAATACTCACCTTTAAATAACAAGAGGCCCATGGGCCTTAACGGTCACCTGATATATTTAAACAGAGAGTTGATTTTGTTTTTAACATGAACAGAAATATTATTCAAAGTGACAAAAAACAATAAAACCACCTTACTCAATATCTAGCATACAGATTTCAGACTAAAAAGGATTTGAAACTAGCACTTACAGCCCTTGGGGGTAGGGCTGGCTCAAAATTTTCGAAGTTTCAAACTGTCAATTCAAGGTTATAATTCCAATCAAGTTATTAACATGTAATATTCAAAGCATCATTTGTCATTATAAACCATAATAAATTTTGCCCCCTCCCCTCCTTCCCCAGGGGGTAAACGTGAGACCCTAGGGTCATAAACCTTAAGACCCTTCCATCTATGAAGAGTATTTGATTCTACCATATCTGGGTCTTGAGAAGAAGATTTTTGAAATTTCAGT